TCCAAAAAAATTCTGAAATCTTACAATAAACTCACAAAAATCAGAAATCTTACATGATGTTTATCTGAAATGATTGTTATCTCAGCTCCACCTTGAAGATTCAAATCTTTTTTCAGAAGTTTCACAAACCACATCCAATTATCAATATCCTCCACCTCTACCACTGCCCAAGCAATTGGAAATATTCGGTTATCCCCATCTCTACCAACAGCAGCTAACATTTGGCCTTTGATATCCCATTTCATAAATGCAGCATCTAATCCAATAATAGGCCTACATGACTGCTTCCAAGATTTTTTCAACGCTTCAAAACACACATATAATCTGTAGAATCTTTGCAAGCTACCAGGGACTGGCCCAGGAATTGTGTCGATCTCCATAGTTGAACCTTGATTAGATGTACGTACCTCCTCTTGATAATCCCATATTCTAGCAAAATGAGATTCATGACTAGCCTTTCTTTTATTTTTTATCAACTTCTTCGCTCTCCTACATTGATGCACACTCACAATCATATTATACTCCCTCTTGATTTCATTAACCATTTCTTGAGATTTTATCTTAGGATTCACTCGAAGTCTTTCCTCATACAATAGCCCAATAGTTCCACTCTTCAAAAGCTTAGTGTAACCAGATCTTACACAACGATGGTCATCCTCGTAGATATTTATCATAAGCTTGTTCCTCCTCTTCTCAAAAGCACAATAAACTTTCCATGGACACTTATCTTTCACATGTTGTGTACACTTTGCTCCAAGCCTGTTTGATGATGACTTATACATTTTGATGTCGTATTGGGTCTTTAGAGAATACCTGAGGAGTGCATACTTGAATTCGTCTGCATTATTGAATGTTTTATGCAATTCAAGTAGACTGTCAGAACGATCTCCATTAGACAATGGTCTCTCAGCTTCATATTCGTTATCATCATCTGATAATGGATCCGGAATCTTCTCGTCATTCCAAACATCATCCCCGCTATCATCAGAATTATTAGCAGTGGGATCATCTTCTCCCACTTCAACCCCAAAATAGTCTTCTAAGTTGTTGCAGACTTCAACGTTGATGAGCTCATCTTCTTCTTCCTCTGGATTTTCAGCCAAACATTGTTCTACCTCTTTGTATCCTATGCTATCTTCTACGATAACTGGGCAATCATCTTCCTCGTCTTCTACTATCTCGTCGAAAATCCCATCGCAGTTGGCTCCACCGGGTTCCCTTCGAATTGGAAGCTTTCGCTTTCGTCTACCTATGGTACTCTCCATAAAACCTAAAAAAAAATCAGTTCAATCTCTATGTCTCACGTAGAAAGCGTATCTTTTAATATGGAGGAAATATTAGGGGATTTTTTTTAATTAGATTTTAATAGACCACTTAACTTTTCCGTTAACCATTAAACGTTAACTATTTTTATGTCTAAAATTGTTAAGTCAATAATAAGTTGAGGAATAAACTTCCCCGGAAAATAGTTAGAGAATAAATGTGTTAATTTCAAATAGTTGGGGAATTTAGTGAGCATTTTCCCCACAGGCTTATAAGTAAACTGTTTGACCATTTTTCTAAACAACCTTAGTACGTAACTTCACCCGTTAGGATGAAATCATCAATCTCTAATCTCGTAATCAAAGAAAAGTAAACACAATAAAAAATAAGAGAAAAAAAATGGACAAGTGAAAAAGAAAGAAAAAGACAAAGGGAACAAAATCACATGAAGCAATTGGGTAAGTGGCTTGAGGGGTTAGGGTTGCTAGGGAACCAACTAAGCAATATGCATTTTAAATGATGATAATACTATTCTTCTGTAGCTAGTTAACTTCCAAAAAAAAACCAATCTTAAAAGATAAGTCTGTGTTGTGTATTCTTTTTCACGTTAAGTTTCCTCAAGCTAGCTAGTTCAATTTATCTAGTTCAATTATTGGCACATGATCCCACTTATCACCCACCCATCCAACATTTTTGTTTTAATTTCACCATTAATTTCTGTGGGGCTTCCTCTCCTTTGATTTTGACTGCCAACATTTACATACACATCTCTTTGCGTACTCATCATACATGCATGAACATTTTCATAATTTTGTTCCTAGCTAGGTTTGTATTCATCTGACCAAAATAGTCATCAACTTACGAAGTACTATACTACTACTATTTTACTTATGTGCTTCCAGAAAACTAATTAACAAAACTACAAGCTTCAATTTTATTAGCATGATAAGAAAAATGAAAACTAGGTACGTACTAAGTCAAGATTCCTTTCTTCATCATGATTACCATTAATTAAAACTAATACTATACTCTTTTAATGTCACATGCGACAGATCCAAGATTAGGGAAGACACAATATATATATAAGGAAAAGTCCAAATAACAATCGTTGTTTAGAGGTCATCGCTCATCAGTCTTGGTTTTAATTAACATGGATACGTAAGTGTGAAGTTATACTAAGATTTTTTAACTCAAAAATGTATATTTAGTAACAAAGAGACTGACTCATCTTTGTCTATATACTATATTTGGTTCCAATACGTATTATTCTCGGAACCCGTATATAATACATAGTAGTATCATTTACGAAGGAGAAAAAGATCTTTATAATCCTTGAGTAGTGGCAATCAGATGGGCCTTATAAACACTCCAAACCCATAAGGTAATTAAAAGCTCTGATCAAGTGCAATGCATGTACCTTGGAGTTTGTTAAAAATCTTCTTCTCTGGAAATGTCCTTAAAATAATAATACTTGTGTTCAAAGTTTCAAACACATGGAGAAAAGAAATGTAAACCACAATAAAGACGATCGAAATCGAAGTATGGAAACCATGTAAGAGTATCGTATGCTTTCTCTGCCAATCACAATTGACGATGCAACTTTTTTATTTTTATTCTTATCTTTTTATCATCCCTTGCCTATAAAATTAATGTTCAGTGTGACATGTGGAGTGAACGAAACGAACGTACTTTTGTTTTTGTTTATGTATCTAAAAAATATGAATAAAGATCATCTCTCAATATTATTAGCTACACCTTGTTTATGATTATTTTCTAATTTGGCAAGGACTACCTAGTACCTAGTATGCTTTTAAAACGCCGTTTTGTAAACCAAAGTTAATTCATTCCTTAACGAGATTCACATTCACGTATACAAAAGATGTAATATAGGAATCAAACTTTTAAGGTCGACCTAAAGATAAGTCTTGTACTCTGAAAAAGGCGAACGGGCGCAAAAAGTAAAAGAGATAGATTCAAAGGGAGAGTGAGACTTTTGTTTTATTTAATTTTAATTTTAAGTGTCATATGTCGTCATTGGCATCTTTCTTTCAACATCACTAAAAATCTTCAGAGGAGTCAACTAGGAAATCTCCTCCGTATAGGATGATATGATGATGATCATATGTATGTACATATTCTAATGATGAACCTCAAAGTCATGGGTTCACACATTTTGTGGTTAGTTTTTGTGTCAGAAATTTCAAAACAAACTGCGTTGCCTACTTTTTATTTCATGTATATAAAAATTTATCTTCTTCATGCTTCTGCATGTTTATCATTTTTGTGTCATTGTGTGTGTGTGTGTGGTTATTAGAGACCACTTTTAAATATTTCCCTTCAAACAACTTATGAAACTTTGGTCCGTGTGTATGGAATAACGTAAGCCCAAATAAGGCCTGTATAAGCCCATTTTGGAATACCTTTTTTTTTTTTTTTGGGTTCTCTCATTTCTCTCCTAGTGCAGCAGCATATCCCATCTCCATCTGTTTCTCTTCCTTGATTTGCGGCCAATCGTAGAAGAAGTAGAGAGCAGAGGATACACTACAGAGAGCCAGAGAGGTAAAAACCAATCCTTTAGATCTTTCTTTCTTTTTACGTGTCTTTAATCATAATTTCAACGGTAATCTTTTTTTTGGGATCTTCTTGCTCATCCTTAAATGATCTGATCTGAATAATAAACCGACTCTTTAAAAATAAAATAAAAACAAAAACATTTCCAAAATTCAGATCTTGACAAGATGGGTAAAGCAAGAGGAGTGAACAATGGTGTTAATGAAAGTTCTCTCGGCTATCTCTTTGGTTCCGGTCAACCTTCTTCCACCGCTGCTGCTGCAATGGGCACTACTACCACTACAACCACCACAACTACCACCGATGGAACCGGGGGCAGACCCATTACCACCACGACTACTACGGTGACTGATAACAAGAAGACATCTGCCGGTGTTAGAGGCAGCCCTAATAACTACTTCAGATCAGAAGGCCAAAACTGTGGAAACTTTCTCACGGTAAGTGGAGGAAATTTTAACGTTTTTGAGATTTAAAGAGTTGATTCTGATTTGAAAACTGACAAAACAACAAAAATGTGTTGGCGAGAACAGGACAGGCCATCTACCAAGGTTCATGCAGCTCCTGGAGGAGGATCTTCTCTTGGTTATCTGTTTGGAGGACCACCAAGTCCTGCTAGATCTGGAAGCAAATGAAGTTACTTTGGTTTCCGACAACTCGGATTTGTGTAAATCATCAAAAGTGTGTGGCCTTTATCCCTCTCTGAACCCTGTGTGATTCAATTGTGATGTTTGCCTTTTGATCTAAATTCTTTGTGTTGTTAAAGAGGTTTTCAGACAATGTTTTCTCAGACTTCCCAAGGAAATAAACTAAGTCCTGATCAACCTAGAAATCGAAATCAAATGAAACAAAACAATTCCCACAGGTAACAATATTGAATCAGCCATGTTTAAAGCTCTAGGACAATGGCTTCGAATTCAGCCATATTCCGATTGAATATGATTACTAGCATGCATAAGAGTAGAAACCGAATCCTCAAAAAGAGTTATATTCATATTGTAAGAGAAAGGATTCAACTATCATATTTCATCATCAGATTTATGCATTATGCAGCTCTAAAATTTAACATTGCAAAGCCACAAAATCCTTAACAAAAAATAAAATTTTAAGGGTCAAAGACCCCCCCAATTCCGACACAAGAAAGATATTAGAAAATTCGGACGAATCTGAGTCATGGCAGTGAACTCGCGAGTGCTCTAGAACCCAAGCTTGGTACGGCGCCAGTGCCTACGCTTAGCATTGTACCTGTGTGATGGTGAAACAATGGAACTCAGTATCAAAGTCTGCAACTTTATCAAGGATCAAAAGCAAAACAAACAAAAAAAACCTAGAAAATATATAGACCTGATCCTATTGTCGGTACGGAGGCGGATCCAATTAGGGATTGGTCTGTTCTGTCTCATCTTCTTGCCCAGCTTCTTCTTGATCATGAACGACTTGTGCGACGGCTAATATCAGGGATCGTGAAATCGATCAGGCCAAGAAAAAGCATAAACAGAGAAAAAGAAGGATACAGAGATAGAGAGAGAATACGTACCATCTTGAATTCACCGGTGGCGATCCGGCGGAACACGGCGGCGTTTAAAACCCTAGTCTTCTCAAATGCTAGCTGATGAAGAGGTTGATTTTTATATGGCTTGTGAACTAGAGTTTTATCCTGACCGTTGGATTTTATATATATTTATTAGCCGTCAGATGCTTAAACCATTATTAATAATGCGAATCGGATTCGGTTCCGGTTAACGTAACCCGGAAAAGATAAAAAATATAGATTAGGGTTTTCGTTTTCTTCTCTCTGCTGCTCGGCTGCTGAAACAAGTTTTGATTTTGGGATTTTGTTCTTCAGCGCCGCCGAGAGGATTCGAAACCGGAGCTAAGCTATGACGACGATTGTTCCCACTTCCGAAGAAGACCCGTTCCTCGCTGTTGTCCGCTTCACTTCCCAGCTCGCCTGGGCCGATGCTGGTCCCGAGGTACCACTTCTACCACACCTTGTTTGGGAATTTATCTGGGGAACATTGGAATGTCTATCGTTTGGGGTCATGGGAAGTTGAGAAATTTGATCTGGTATATGTTGTTTCTTTAGAAGCGTCTGATTGGTAAATGGTGATGTTCGGGTTTGTGTTGATAGACTCAATTTGATACTCCTTCTTATTTTTTTTGTTTGATGTAGTTAGATGTTTCTGTACTAGAATCGTTTGTAAATTGTTCATGATTGTGTTGCATATAATTCAACCATCTAAGATTAGTCTCATTAAGCTACTTACTAGTTCTCGTTTGAAACTTTTGGAACTTGTCTTCTTCTTTTTAGGCTGCTGAGCCAGAAATTACCAGGCTTTGTAAGGAGGCTGAGGAGTCGATAGTAGCAGGAAAATCGCTTGAGTTAGCTACGTTAATGGTTACCTCAGCTGAATTGGTATCTTCCAAGATATCTGAGAAAGGTTTGTGTTCCTATTTTTGTTTTACCAAAACACAATGTCCATCTTTTTGTATGCTCCTTGTCTTTTTTAGAATATTCATTTATCAGTTGTTTGCCTGTCTTGATTCAGATCTTGAGTGTACCTACACCATAATTTGCAGCCTTGTCAAGAAGGTGAATAGCCCTGAGGAACTCCTTGAAATTGTGAAAGCTATATCTTCCAAGGTTGCTCAACAACCCAGTGACAAAGCTTCACTTCGTTTGAAGATGTATGACTCTTTACAGCTTATATATTAATGCTTTGTTTATGTATCACATACTTCTCATTTCCTTTTTCTGTCTTTCTGTAGCCTCTTCAATCTCTACAACCTTCTGGACCATCCGTATGCTCGTTTTCAAGTGTACATGAAAGCTCTAACACTGGCTGTTGATGGCAAGGTTACTGAGTACATCGTTTCTTCTTTTAAGAAGATTGATAACTTTTTGAAAGAGTGGAATATTGACATTAAAGATCAGAGGGAACTCTTTCTTGCCATTGCTAACGTGCTTAAAGAAAACAAAAGGTACTGGAACATAATCTTTTTATTTTATAAACCTGATCACCATTCATTCTCTCTCTGGTTTTCTTGTGTTTCCGTTTAGATGTAACTATAGCCGCATGTATTTTTTTCTGTCTATAATCCAGCCTGGTGAAAGAATCCCTTGAGTTCTTGACAAAGTATCTAGCAACTTTCTCCAAAGAAGATGCTCAGGTCCTGGATGAAGCTAAGGAGGAGGCTGTGCGTGCAGTTATCGAATTTGTCAAAGCTTCCAGTATTTTCCAGGTATCATAATTCATATAAGTATGTATTAATGTAAATTGGATGTGTGAGATTCATCTTTCTTGTTCTGTCTCTGCTTTTATATTTTATACTTAAAAATTTCATCAATGATTTATTAAAAAAAAATGCAGTGTGATTTATTGGACTTGCCAGCCGTTGCTCAATTGGAAAAGGATGCTAAATATGCACCGGTTTACCAGCTTCTGAAGATCTTTCTTACTCAGAGACTAAATGCCTACATAGAATTCCAAAAAGCGAATTCGGATTTTCTGCAAAGCTATGGTATTTAAAACTTCAATTAATTTCCTGCTTTTGCTTAAGCATGATCTCCTTATGAATCCTCTGGTGTGTCTATAGAACTTGTCGATGAAGATTGCGTTACGAAGATGAGATTGTTGTCACTAGTCGACTTAGCTTCTGATGAATCTGGCAAAATACCTTATGCTTCAATCAAAGACACGCTAGAGGTGAAAACTCCTCTGCTGGCAAAAAGACTTGTAATATTATGGCTCTTTTTGGTTGCTTATTGTTCTCTGCGTTTTCAGGTACACGAAGAGGAGGTCGAGTTATGGGTTGTGAAGGCAATAACTGCGAAATTGATTGATTGTAAAATGGATCAGATGAACCAAGTTGTAATTGTCAGGCAAGTCACACATTGATACAAACTTTGCTCTTATTATATACATGTCTACATGACATTTATAACTTGATGGTTTGATTCATATCTTTCAGCCGCTGTTCCGAACGTGAATTTGGGACAAAACAATGGCAATCGCTTCGAACAAAGCTTGCTAATTGGCGGGTAAAGACAAACACTTTTACTTTATTTTACTACAAAGCATATCCTGAATCTGACTCTTTTGTGTGTTTTTGTAGGACAACATTTCAAACATCATAACTACAATTGAATCGAATAAGGTAACAGAGGAAGGTTCTCAGGCATCATCATCATCTGCTGCAGCAATTCAAGGGTTGACTGTTCGTTGAGGAAACTATCAAAGACAAACCGTTTGCATCCCCAGAAAAAGCTCAATTATAGAACTAATCTTTTGTTGTCTTGAATCTTTCTCTCTCTGTGTATTTCCTTGCAGAGTTTTGAGATCTTTGAATCTTTTTTGTCCTTGAAACAATGCGGAGACTTTTGCTATACATTATTTTTTTGCTCAATAATGTTTACACAGTACACAACATTTCCCAATTATAAGAGCAGGTCTCGCGAGTGGTTATCGTAGTTTTGACTGAAGATATGGAGGCGAACAAATCATAAACTAGTAACCATTATCATTGGATCTAGTTATACCGGAAGAGTGCAGACAACATTCAAGACTTAAGAGGAAACACTACGTCAACAATTCTCTCCTGATAGATTTTTATCACTTAAAAGAAACTAAGCTCTACACTTCTTATTTCTTACACGTTCCCATGTAGGAACATAGTCAGTAACAAGGCGATTACTGCAAACCAAGAACCAATTGATTTGTGTGAACCGGCATTGGGCAGCCAAGGGTAAGAATCTGGAGGTGGCATCACACAGTTATCTCCATTGAAATAGATTCTTCTTGGAAATGCCCAGCCTTTCTCAAGCGTGAACGCTGATGCTTCTTTCTGGAAAAGTAGCTCAGATTGTACATTACCAAATGGACCAGCTTGCATCAACAGGTCATTGTAGAACTTTATTCCCCAGAGAATCCCAGTATCATCTTATATCAATGAAAAACAAAAACATATCAAGCTTTGTTCCTTTGTATGGAAACAAGGGACTGATTGATGGTACTTACTTATGGAAGCATAAGGAGTCAAGGGTTTATAGTTGAAGCTAAAAGTCTGAGTGAGATTGTCGAAATTCGGATGCTGCACGACGAGATTCCACTGTGTATAGTTCATGTTGTAGTTGAAATTTGTGATGGTGACTTTAACTCTCCAGTACTGCTTGTAGTTAACCTTCACATGCCAGTGGATTCTAACTGGGCACATATGGTGTGTACATTGGACTAGGGGCGGTAGATATGCGTTCTTCCCGGGATTTGGAATGACCGATGCTATCCGAGGACCTTTTGGACTGTGTGTGGACATACAAGACACCCAAATTAACCAACCAAGCCAACAGAGTTTCAGGTAATAAATGACTGGAAGCCTTGAGAGCTGAGAATAACTTACTCTACACAATTCCCTGGCTGAGAAGTGTTTTGGCATCCACAAGAGCATGTCGGACAAGAAACTATTGTGCTGTTATAAAACGATGAAAGCGATACACAGCAAGTAGGTGTTTTCTGAGCTAAGAACTGCGAGTACGTGCAAGTTACATTCCAAGTCACTGTTCCAGCAGAAAAGAAAAATCCCAAACTCAGTTTTAATTTGACTCCAAGTTAAATAAAGATGGGTAGATTTCAAGAACAGAGTAACTTACTTAATGCTTGTGTAACTCTTCGTTTGTCAGTACCGATGAATCTAGTCGGTTTTACAATCTTCCCGGGGCTACAAGTATAGCCAGGTCCAGGTGCATTGAGAGTGAAATTCTTAGGTACCCTAACCGTTTTATTTGTTGTTCCAGCTTGTCCAACAATGAGTTGGAAAGCAGAAACAGCAGTTGCAGGATCTTGAGCCCAAGAGTTGATCACACCGCCTCTGCAACAATTTGCAATCTGCTGATTGTAAGGAGTTCCGGGTAAGAGATCAACAACAGAAGGTGTCTTTTTACAGCAATGAGGAATGTTTCCTTTGAATTTCGAACAATCTCCTTGTTCTGTTGCTTGTCCTCCACTCATTCCCCATATAACCTCTCTCTTTGCCCATGACCATCCAAGAGTCCAACCTGGAGCCTGAATGTGACGATATTGCTGGAAATTATATATAGTCACAACCGCCTGCACCGTGAAAAGATTGAAGATATTAAATACACAATCAAGATTCAAGAAATGCCCAATTTTGAAGCTAAAGTATACATACCATATAGCCATCTGCAGTCCAGCTTATGATATCCCATTTGATAGTAATGTTCCCACTTGGATCCAAAGGATCATAAGCTTCTGAGACAATCCCAAAACAACAACATTAGCACACAAATATTGACGCCTTTTTTTGTTTTCTTGTTTCAAAGATTCTCTCTTTCTAGAATAGCAGAGCATTGAAAGTGAAATGTCAAAGAGATCTTCTCTTTGAGACTAACAAGCTCCCTCAAACACTGGTGAAAACTATTAAATAAATGCACTTCCTTCTCTGTTTCTCTATACACCCAAAAGCTCAAACAATTCAAAACTTAAAGAACCCAAGAAACACAAGCTCCTAGCAAATTTCAAAACATAATTAATACATGGGGAAGGAAGAAGGAAGCTTTGTGCAGTTTAGAGCAAAACCCAGAAGGAAGCTTTGTGCAGTTAAGTGCAGTTAAGAGCCAAACCCAGAAGGAAACTTACACTCAAGAGTCACTCAAGACCCAGAGACGAAATAAAACCCTAGTTAGTAAATACGATAATGAACAGAAAAAACTTGAACCAAGACAGAATCTTTCGGCTTACCTGCAGGAGTACAACCAGAGAAACACACAAGAAAGATTATAGATACTCCGAACTTGAAGAAGATTGAAGAAGAACACAAGAAACCCATTTTTCCTGAAGAGAGCGAGAGAGAGAGAGAATCTCGTCTTCTTCTTTGATCTTTAGGCTCTGACAAGTGACAAGACAAGGATGAAGACTGAAGAAGCTCAACGTATTAGGAGATAAGCCAAAACTGATTAACAAAATGAAAAGATAATAGAAACAAGAAATGACCAATTAGCTTCGAAATCTTTGTGATTAATCTTCTAAGTATAATGAGGGTTAAAAAAACTCATAATTGCCCATTGAAAATGGAGAAATCCAGCTTTTGGGTTTTTGTGTGCAGAGAGATTAAATGAAAGCCAAAAGAAGGCTGCTTTAGTGGGCGACGAGACGGTGTTTTTATGTGCCAAGTGTAATAATTTGACTTAATGCACAAGCATTAATGCACTTAGGTAGCCATTCCTTTTTCAGCTTCAAACATTCTTATTCACATTTATTATTTAGCCGATGACTTTTTTAGAATCTCTAGACAATTACTAGAAATTGGGCCGGTAAAGAACGTCTACTGAAAGGCCCGTTTAAATCACATCACATACAAGATACAACCATATAAATATCCTTTGCTAGTCTTGCATTGCAGGTGACAAAGTAAAGTCTACTCTCAAAATAACAGCAATAAACGGTTTTGCAAAATCTCAGGATACTATCAAAATTGAGTTTACTTCTGCAGTTGAGATGGCTCAGTTGCATCAATGTCTTCTCGCAAATCATGCTCATCGTCACCAGTGTGATCCTCATCTGATTCAGGTCCACTCGCATTATCATCATCATCATCATCATCATGGCCATGATCAGGTACGCTACCATGACCAATACTCCCGCTAACTCTTCCTGACTTGTTTGCATATTCTTCAAGGGATGTTGAGGGAAACACATCACCAACCTTGCTGCTATCACTCCTTGTTGCGGCTTCATCTGATTTATTCGGCTTGTTATCTTTGTTCATCTGTGTCATGCAAATACGCAACTTTAGGACCAATAACACAAACATACACATTTTCAAATCTCAAACCATCTTCAATGTAAGACATAACTCTATTTATTTGGAATCAGAGGTAGTAAAAAGGTTGTATAACTAAAGAATCTTACAGCACGTAACAGGGTCCTTCGATCCCTTTCCCTAGCATTCTTGATAGTCTGCAATCACATTAGTAAAAATTCAGTGAGAACCCCCAAAAAGCATCTTTAAGTTAAAAAAAAAAAAGCCACAAGCAGGGAATGAGACTTAGAAGCAGAATAAGTAAAAGACTAACCTCATCAAGCATCTTCTGTTCAGCCTCTACCTCATAAATATCTCTGCGAGAAACAAACAGTTACTTCAACATTAGCTTAAAATCGTTATCTACCAAACTCACTTTGAAGGAAACCAGCATCTAGCAGAAGCAAAAGAAAGACTTTTCATCAAAATTAAATTTACCTTCCAATGATTTGATCAACACGGGAACAACACTTTGCACACACTTTTTGCTCCTTGGCACAACCTATAGCAGTTTCTTACTATCAACACATCAACTCGAAAACAAGATACTGATCTATTGTTCTTCACTTGCTAACAAAAGCAAAGAAAAAAAAAACACTAACCAGGGCATAACTTATGGTATGCTTGACGAACATTTCGCTTTGTACACTTCTGACTGCACCCAAAAATAAAATAAAAGTTTGCTCTTTTAAGAAAATTAACGCAAAGAAGAAACAAAGCAGTTCGATTCAGATTTCAAGATTCAACATAGAATGACAGAGACTAGCAAATGAACACTCTTAAATTCAATCAACGATACCATTTGGCGGCTTCAGTTAGGGTTTTGTATTTGCCGTAGCGGCGTTTCCAAGCTATCTGCTCTCGACAGCGATAGCAAACTCCGGTAATCTCCGATAGTGGTCTGAATCTCCCACCGACTTCCTAGAAAACAGAAATTTCAGGCTAAATTAAGGATCCAACAACACTATTCACTCAAATTCGTTAACCCCAACAGCAGAGCAAATAGTATACCGTTTCGTTGATCTTGACGCCGGATTTGGGAACCCAGGCGAACTTGTTCTGATGCTTCGGTGGTCCTTGTCGTGATCCCATTTTCTATAGGTTGTGAATTTAGATCGGAGACTGCAGAGAGAGGAATACGATTTTATCTGAAGCAGCCGAGCGGCGCGAAAAGAAGGAGAAGAAGCCAATTAGGTTTGCTTTTATTTTTCCACATTTAATCAAAAAATAATAATAATTTAATCCATAATTAAATGAAGATTAAAAGTTTATTTGGGACATAATGGGCCAATCCAAAACATTAAAAGCCCATATATCACAGTCTCGGCAACATTTGTTGTGATACTCGTTGCCAACACTTGTACGAGCCTTTGAGGTGTCAGCTGACAAATACTGTATTTTCACATTATTAACTAACTCAAGTGTGAGATCATCTAGCTATCATATCGATTATCATGTGTGCATATATAATGATGATTTATAGAGAGAGAGGGTTCACGTTATTTTGAAAAAGACGATGGTTTGTTGGATTCTTCACGATTTGCATGCAATGATCATACGCAAACGCAACGTGCATCGACGAGCTCCCCCACGACGTCTACACACATTAGATCAAACTCCGATGATTTTTATTGTTATTATTCTATACATCTACTAAACAAATCATCTCTATTATTCTCTTTCTATACAAATATTTGTTATTCCGTTAGAAGTAAAACACTGGAACTCTTTTTATCAAATCCAACAAACCAAAAGGATGACATAAGTACTAAAGAATTTTAAACCAAAAAAAAAAAAAAAGGACTAAAGAATATTATCCGTGGTTTCTTTTTATCACAAGGATGTACTAATTCGTATATTCTGTTATTTTTAATTAGCATATTCTTGTAAATGTGTATGCGAACTTTGGCTAAAAGCCTAAAAGGAATGTCAAAAGAGAGTTTAAAATAAAAAGTTGAGATTGGAGCTTCAGCTTCCCACATGTGAATGTTCCCTTCGTTCCACAAATAAAGTAGATCGAGGAGCACAGAGTTTTTAAATTCTTCATTATTATTCCGTCCCGTTACGAGTTTAAAAAAAGCCTAATTACATTCTAATTAAACACCTTTATTGATGTTACACTCCGGTCAAAAAAGTAGTATTAAATTATTGTTCGGTTTTTGTATCCCATACTCCATCTTTTAATTCCTCACTCACATACGACTTTTTTTTGTAGTTTGTTAAAAACGCATACACGAATTTAGGTACATTAATGGTGGTGATATAACTACATCCAGTAAGAAATAATTGCAAGCCGAATTGAATTAAATTGCTAGCTCAAAAATCTCCTTCATAAGGTTAGCTAGACCTAATATCTTAACCTCTTTAATTTACTCTCCGAAACTGATATCATTAAGTGCATACAAAAAAATTATAAAACCAAACGAATTGAATTTAACACTTTATTAGAGTCTTAAATTTATATAAAAAAACACAAATTCAAAACAAAAAACTGTCACAGTTAAACAATTAACAATATGTAGATGATCAAATCTAATTTTTTTGTAAGTTTTGGTTGTTGACATATATAATATATTGACCAGTAAAATTTAAGAAACAAAAATAATTTGAATGTTTTGCATCTTTTAGTTAAAATAAGTTTAGTTTCCAAATTTTCAAAGCCTAAAAACTAAATTAAACATGTTGACAATAATTTTATAAACCAAAAGTATTATTAAAAAAATAAAACAGATAAATCCATATTAGTTTTTAGGTATATCCGATAAATTGATTAAGTAAATAATACAGTAATAATAATTTTTGAAAGTATGGGATATTCTTGAAAATCATCTTGTTATTCACATTTTTTTTAGTTTGGTGTGGGAGATAAATATCTAAAATATAGAGTCAAGATGAGATTAAAAGGCTTCTATTTTTTTTTGGGGAGATTTATTAAAACAAAAGATGTGTGTTTGCTAAGGAATAAGACGAATTATTATTAATAGCAAAGAAGAAACAATTTAATTGCAAACACCGAAAATTAAGATATATTGCATATCCCCATAGAATACGGACATCAAGAGACAAAAAATAGAAAAGTCTTCACTTCCTCACCATAACATAAACATAAGATTAACAAAGGACCTGTTGAACAAGTCCTCATCGACCACGTGTCAACCCTCACACGCGTCTCACAAATCCCTCGCACGTACCAAATCCCATTATAAAAACCAAAGCGACGGGTCTTCATAGTCTCCCATCTCCTCCGATCTCAAATCTCTCACACAACTCTTTTTTTTATTCTCTCTGAATCAATCAATCAATCATGGTTGAGCCGGCGAACACCGTTGGAATTCCGGTGAATCACATGCCACTGTTGAAGGATGAGCTCGACATCGTGATCCCCACGATCCGTAACCTCGATTTCCTCGAGATGTGGAGGCCTTTCCTTCAGCCTTACCATCTGATCATCGTCCAAGATGGAGATCCATCGAAGACCATTGCTGTCCCTGAAGGGTTCGATTACGAGCTCTACAACAGGAACGACATCAACCGTATCCTTGGTCCTAAAGCTTCCTGCATTTCCTTCAAGGACTCTGCTTGTCGTTGCTTCGGCTACATGGTCTCCAAGAAGAAGTACATCTTCACCATTGACGACGATTGCTTCGTAAGTCTCCACAATTCTCTGTTTGTTAGATCTGTTTTTATTATTCTGGCAACTTTGTGATTTGAATGTCGTAGGGGTCTGCTTTGAGATCTACTAGTGATTAAGTCTGTAGATTTAACAGATCTTAACGTTGGAAATTGAAAATTCGATTCCAATTATTTAGGTCAACTTTGAGATCAATCACTCTGTTTTGACCTAGATCTATACATTCCTGATGGTTGTCGATCTGTTTTCAGTCTTATGTTTGTCGGCATTGTCATGATCTCGTATGTTTATGTAACTATAGTGTTGTTATTGTTGTCGGACCAACTTATCTATGTCTTTAACAGTTAACTTCACAAGATTCTTGCATGTCGTTGTCCTGCACATTTATGTTGTTGTCATCAGGCTAAGGCGGAGAAAAGTCCAACCTTTCAATTCCCCTCTTCTTTAGGGGTTTGTGGGGCTTTTTACGAATTTTGAGTCTTCAGTTACGCCATGATTGTAGCATTGATGTTGCAATCACAGTGTGTTGGTTAATCACGTGTTACGTATTGTTCCCTCATGGTCTTCGATTTTTTTTTCTTCTCTCACTTTAGCTGCATTTGAATAATCCTTTCTTTCTTAGAGTTTTAAATATTATTTTGCTGTTGTCATGTATTATTATAGGTTGCCAAGGATCCATCTGGAAAGGCTGTGAACGCTCTTGAGCAACACATCAAGAACCTTCTCTGCCCATCATCTCCATTTTTCTTCAACACCTTGTACGACCCATACCGTGAAGGTGCTGACTACGTCCGTGGATACCCTTTCAGTCTCCGTGAGGGTGTCTCCACTGCTGTTTCCCACGGTCTGTGGCTCAACATCCCTGATTACGATGCCCCGACCCAACTCGTGAAGCCTAAGGAAAGGAACACAAGGTAGGAATCTCACATTATCTTTCTACATTTTTTTAATTTTTTGGTGTTCTTTAGCTAACAATGCTTAATTGGCATCACTATTAGGTACGTGGATGCTGTTATGACCATCCCAAAGGGAACACTTTTCCCAATGTGTGGCATGAACTTGGCCTTTGACCGTGAGCTCATTGGACCAGCTATGTACTTTGGTCTCATGGGTGATGGTCAGCCTATTGGTCGCTACGACGATATGTGGGCTGGATGGTGTGTCAAGGTACTTACTTTCTCCATTCCGCTCCTTACTTTTAACGGACTTAAAATATATTCTCTTACTGACCTCCTTGTTATGGTTCTGTTCGTCAGGTGATCTGTGACCATCTGGGATTGGGAGTGAAGACAGGTTTGCCCTACATTTACCACAGCAAAGCTAGCAACCCGTTTGTGAACTTGAAGAAGGAGTACAAGGGAATCTTCTGGCAGGAGGACATCATTCCTTTCTTCCAGAGCGCAAAGCTCTCGAAAGAAGCTGTGACAGTTCAACAATGCTACATGGAGCTGTCCAAGATGGTTAAGGAGAAGCTAAGTGCCATTGATCCTTACTTTGACAAGCTTGCAGATGCTATGGTCACTTGGATTGAAGCTTGGGATGAGCTTAACCCACCAACTAAAGCTTGAGCAGCAAAAAGACCACCACCACAGTTTTGGTTATTAGCTCAATCTATCATCTATCTTCTCCATCTTGTTTTTGTTTTTATCTTTTCTCAATTTTCCGGCGATTCTTCAGTTCGTTTTTAAGTTGCCGGAGTTTATTTAAATAGTGATGGTGTAGTTCTTCTATTTATGACCGAGACAATCTCTCCCTTGAGGTTTTTCGTTTTTGTTTCAATAATAAAATCATATCCCTTTTAGTCTTTGGTGTCTCTTTGCTTTTTGGTATGTTATTTTGGAGCAGTGTAGCAGCTAGAAATCGAAAGACAGTAAACAGATACGAGTCACATCTAGCCTTGAACATATTTTATTAAGTTGATCCCAGTTGGTGTTTTGCTGTATGAGACATGTTATTTTAAAAATGAAAAGACTAAAACATCATTTTAAAGGATCTTGGAAAAGTGATGATAAACACAAATCATTATGTGTATTAGCAAAGAAGGAGACCAGGAGAGGGCAGAAAGCAAAAACTAGAGAAAAGAAGAAACTTGCATATACAGCTAGCGCAGGAGAGAGACAGAGAGAGCCTAAGATCTCATCACGACCCGTTTTAGATTTTTGAGCTCTTAGAGCTCACCTGAGATCACATTGTGGAGACCAAGTGATTGAAAGAGTGTTGGAGCCTCTCTGTAATGAGAAACAGAGGAGGCAAGTAGAGCAGTCTCATATTGATTGATGAATGTCACAATGTATTATAATTCTCGAGGTCTTGGGGAGTTTCAATTCTAGATTATCATTATTCAAGTCATGGATACGTCGTTATCAGCGCTGCTTCTCCCTCCGCGTCACGAACCTCTTGCATTCATAATCTTCGCCGCTCTCTTTTGGAGTTCTTGCAACCTCTTGTGTGTATTTCTCAGTTTGATTATCGCTTGACAGATTACAACAAGCTTACTTCCCCACATGCTTGCAGATGCAGATGCAGGCGTTCCATATTTCCGTCTACCTCATGCATGCCACTCAGAGAATCCTAGCCGTTTTAGTAGTAACTCAGAATGGGCCTCTTCCAAATATTTAGACCCATTGGGCTTTTTTTATCCACCTTTATGGAAAAACATTATTTTTGTGCATTTTTCCACTCTGAACGTATGGATTATGGAATGTGAAAGATGTGATGATTCTAACGAATGTGATTCTAACGAATGGGGTTATCTTATTCTAAAGTGGGCAACAAGGCCACAAGGATTGAATCGGAGGACCCGCCCTCGTGTCTCAAAAAAGAGAATATGGTATCAAATTTTGTCGTACAGATAATAACATTATACTATACTTTTTCGTACAAATTCAATTAAATAACATTAATCATACAAAAGCAAGCATTTTTTTTAGCAAACCTATGGTTGAAAAAGATGTTTGGAACTACAAAAGGACAGCTAGGGACTTCATTTAGAAACCCTAAGCAAAGTAACCATAGATTTTATTATTAACTTATTACTCGAATGTTACTTTAGGGCACTTAAACTCATGAAAATCTTCCCCCATGCTTCCTTGATTTCTCCAAGAAAAATATTAGTAAATATCTTTGTCTTTCAATTTTTTACTCCATAGTCGGTACCGACTTTTCTGGATTCACCCCTACATTATTTTAAGTACGTTCTTTATTTTTCCATTTTCCCATCTAAATACTAATTTATTACGATTATTCTTCTTTGAATAAATTTTACATATTTCATTTTTATGTGAAGTACAAACGATAACATCTATATAATGATCGATCGTTTAGAGATAGAGAGCATGCATGCGACACAAATCGTAAGGCCATATAACGAGAGTGATATACATATTGAAACTAAGATATAATATAACTTATTTGTAAAAGATGATTGTAAAATTAAAGACTGGAATAATAATTGTTTAGTTCGTTAGTTTTTATAATTTTGTTTGACCAAATCTTCCAAGTATTGTTCGAAATATTTTATTTCTGGAAAGCTTTAGCGTTTTCAATTACCGATGTCAAGTCCCTTTTTGTCTTGCCTATGGAACTGTCGGAAAACCCTAGCTGTCACTTTTTTAGGATTGTAGAACAAACTTCTAGTACTGTATAACCCTTATATATATATGAGCTTCCTTCACTCACATCCTAATCAATTCCTTAATATTGCTTGCACAAAGAATTAGAAAAAAACAGATGAAGAACACTACAAATGCCAAGTTAATCACACTCGTTTTAGGGTTTCTCTTCCTCATGATGATGATGGTCATGAACCTTCCTCATGCGCTTCAAGGTTCGTAAACTGACAAAAGTCATTAGTTATATATATTTCTTTGTGATCTTTTGATTAGTTATATGCATGTATGTATTTAGTCTCCCTTTAATGATGAGGCCGACGATGATACAAGTGTCGTAGTTATATGCATGTGTGTGAGTGTGTATGCGATATACCTAGACGTATAACAATTGTGAAGTTGATGTCGTACCTAAATCTTTGAAATATCGATGTAGGTGGATCCAAATATGAAGATTATGGTCTTATAGCGAGCGGAAGTGAATATCTCTTGATGGGACGAAAGGTACACAAAACATTTATTTATCAAACTTTGGTTTATATAATCAATCTAGTTTACTCTTTATCATTAAGGTACAAAATAGTACTCGACGATGGTGAAGAAGATTTATAGATCATCATTAATTATCGTATTTTTCTTTATCTATGTATAAATTTTGTTATAAATTAATGTAATTTGTAATCGCAAACAGTTAAGAAGTTCAAAACCAATCGAATCTGAAGCAAAGAAAAGATCAAGAAAAGGCATAGTCGTCGTCGTCTCTACAGATTCAGCAAGGGAAATCAGTAATCTAATGAGAAGCGACTATCCATCACGTATGAAAGGGAGGAAAAGAACTCCAATTCATAATTGATATATGTATCGTCGTCATTAGTCATTACTTAATTAAGTAGCTTTGTTTTTTTGCTTTGTTAGTTTGTTTTGGTTAACAGTATCATATATTTTAGAAGAAGATGCTATATATATAGGCCTATATATATATATGTATGTATTAAGGTTTTAATTCTACTTTGTCTTTTTTTGTTTTGTTTCAACCAATGTATTCTAATTACATAGGCTTGTATATTACAAATGGTAAGATTCGTTTCATGCTTAATCAATGTTTTCATTTCTATGAAGTGTGTCAAGTATATGTATATTTTCTGTGATACCAGCCAAAAAAAAAAAAAATGGTTTTAGAGAATTAGTTTAATGTGTATATATCAATCTTTCAACGGCTCTTTGAAGTTAAGGAGATAGCGATTGATGAGACAGCGGTGAACAACGACAAAAAAAAAAAAAAAAAAAAAAAAACTTAGTAACCAACGGATAAAGAATTCGAAATCAGGGACCTCTATGCAATAACAAGAAATAAACTCCTAAAGAATTTAGCTGTGGCAAAATCTAATTTTATTCTTTTACCTATGCGACCTAAATTTATTGAATCTATATCATTGCATGAAAGCGTAAAACATAACAATTATTTATTTTGTCAAATAATAATAATAATGTGTAACATAATTTTACACTGCATTTATAATCTTATTTTGTAGCTACCAAAACTGGCAAGACTATGGATGATGATGATAATGGTAGTAACGCCAAAGGACATATTTGCAGACTTTACAATGAAATCTTCAACCTTTCTTCTGCATCCATGGTGATGGTAGCTCCTCAAAAGTCTCTCTGTACACCAAAGAACCCTACATAACTTCATCTTCTCATCTCTTTAAGAAAACCCAATCCCTTCAAGATGGAGAATATATATATAACCAACCCCCCATAGATAACTCCATTATTCATCCATCCATGTCCTGCATCAGCTTGCTCAAGCTAATTTACCCAAAGATCTCCATCCACAAAGACAACTATGGTGGATCTTGTCATATGGTTTCTTCTAGTGAATTGCCATTATTCTCATGTAATAGCTGAAGGCATTCATATGGATTAGCGTAGAAGTAGTCCTCTTCTTTCGGTCTATTTGGAATCACTAGCCGTCTCTTTGGCCCTCCCATTCGTGTAGCGTGAAAGGCCTTAACCGTGGTTGAAAACACTTCCCAGCTCAACAATCCTTCATAGTACTCATCTATTAGCTTCACCAAGAACTTCCTGTTCAGCTCAATCGTCTTCTTGAACCCCAAGAACCTGTATGTCATCTAAATGCATTAGCCGTTGATGTAAGAAACATAACCTATTCTTTAGATTAGAAAAGTTACAGCAAATGATTCACCTGCGATGACCTTCCACGACTTTCGCCATGTTCCCATAATATGTAGGAACGAATATGTCACTTTCAAGAGATATAAGGTAATCCAGAGCAGCCATTTGAGAAGAATGGTTCTGACAAAAACTCAAATCAGAGGAATCCAGTAGAGTTTCTTTCCTGACCTGGTTTGATCAAAAATATTATATATCCGTTACTAACTATTGAGTGAAAGATTAAGGAATTAGCCGTTTTTTGATAGTAAGCTCTTGCTTTTTGCTACTAACCACATTTGGAAAAACGTCAGTTAAAGCCTTTAACCGCCTTTTACCACCATATATTTCTCCGGCAGCAATGTAAATCTGAACATTACGGTCAATACCCAATGCCGATAGAGTAAGAGCAGTTTCTTCTGGAGTCAATGGGCAAAGACCTTCTTTCCTCTTCAACTCAGAGTCTATTACTTTCTCTTTCCACCATGGATAAGCATACCTAAACAATGGAAAGCATGATAACGTCAATATCACAAAACAAAAGCCCCAAGTAATAATATAAGATGATAGTTTCTTTACCTCATTCTTGTTAGTTCTTCTTCCTCATAGCGGTTGCAACCATGTGAGCAGCCAGAAAATGCCAACATATCCATTTCATATCTGAGATGCAGAACAAGAAAGGGACCTTTCTCCCTCAGAATCTTGACTACTCTTCTACCCAATTCCTCAATCTTTGGAGTAAACCTAAGCCCATTGAAATTTGCTCGGCATCGCAGCTTCTGAATCTCAACAGGCAGTTCGTTATTAACAAGTCGAGTATCGGTCTTGTTCAGATGTACAACTTTGTACTTCTTCACCAGCGGAAGAATCTGTTTGCAAGGATTATGTATAAAGAAGCTGTGAGACACCATGAAAATAAATTGTAGGCTAATCTCATAAAAGACTAACAAGAAAATAACCTGGTCTTGGTAGTAGGACATGTTGGACCAGCTAATAGGAGGCATGGTGTGATACATCCCGAGCCTAACCCTTCTTTTAAGCCTGGGAGGAAGCTCTTTGAGTATACGAACCTCATCTCTCAAAGAACTTATGAAGTGATCCACGTCGAATATGTCTTTGAACTCACTGCCCACATGAAAATCCAGTCAGCAACTTTAAGAGAGATTACCAGTTCAGTGAAAGAAGAAATTAGAAAGAACCTTGGATCATTCCAAAACGAGGTCTTGTCAAGCTCTGGTACAATAAGTGTGACATTCATATACCTTGCAATAGTGACCATATCACATATCTGAGGAGAGAAAACAGAGTCCAACAGTCAGATCAATAAAAGCACAGCTTTCAGAGATTTCTTAAGAGGATTAGTAATGATCATACCGCTGCTCGCATTTGGTTGAGTCCGCCATTGCAAGAAACCATAAGATAGCCGTTGTTCTGATATATTCCTGAGATGAACAAAGAGCACAAACAAAAAAAAAGCATAAAAATTGGAATCCTGATAAAGCACAACAGACACAACTTGAGATAACCAGATAGTTGCAGCTAAGCTACAATAACAGGAAAGAAACTTACTTTTAGGCGGAAGGGCGATCTTCATGGGAAGAGAAGTCATTTGAGCAGCCATTGGGAGATCATGGTGATTGAAACAAGAAGGCCAGCCTTTCAACAATCTAGGTCCCCACATCTCTCCCAAAGCCACCAAATGAACAAAACAACTCCAAAGCAACAATATAGTCATAGCCCGAATCATCCATAGGCTCATACGAGACCTCGAAACCAAAGAGTTCTTAAACTTCTCTATCTTACTATCTCCAAGAAACTTAACCTTCATCTCCCAGAGTTTCCTGTGGTATAGAAACTTCTCTGCTTTACACATTATTCAAAATCCACACAGGGGAGTGTCTCATCAAACAGATTCCAGACTTAAGTCTAGCTACAGAGCAGCTTGAGATCCTTCCTCAGATTTACACAGACAATAGAATACACTCGGATAAGAATCACGCTCTCTCTCTCTCAGCGGCACTAATGATTCTTAATTTAAACACTCAGAAAAATGTAATCTTTCACGCAAAACCAGGGAATTCGCAGAACATTTATTACTCCTCGAAAGAATCCAGATTCTTGCTCTCAAGTCAACCACAAATTTCGCCTCTCAATCAATTAAAAAATACAAAACACTAATCTGAGATTTCACATCCGACAAAACTCTCTCAACCCAGAAATAAAAGAAAAAATAGATATTTGGAAGCTAACTCTCCAAATTACAATGCAATGGCGATTCTTGAAACTTAGTAAGAAGAAGTAAGCAAAACTGAAGAAACAATAATAAAAAAAGAAAGGAGGAAGCTTTAGAGAATGCTTGCTAACTATGTTAACGAGAGATGCTTCTTCGTCCAGATCCGGTACCAAAGAATCAGGAAACTGGATCGAAGCTCCTCAGAAAGAAGAAGAAGATCAGGACAAGAATGTGCAAAAAGATAACTACTTTCTCACAAATGTTTAAGATTTGATCATTCACACACAAAAAAAAATAAAACAACAACAAATGAACTGTCTTTTTTTTTTTTTTTGCTTTTGTCGGTAGTCTATTTTTTTTCTGACCGTTTTGTTAACCTTTTCTGTGTAAGACAGTTGGAACCATTGTTGTTATATAGCTCCATCGTTTTATGTGTTTACTGATAAGAAATCAAACAAATAAATATCTCTAAAGGATACAAAATCTACAAGTATATAAATACGAACACGGATTCTTTTATTTATTTCTGCTAACAAATCTTTTAATCAAAATTTTATAAAGATTTTCATGCACGAACCAAGTTTTAAATTTAAATATGTGTAATTTACTAATAGGGATAATATTCACTAAAACTATAAGTTACGGATGCAATTATATTCTGAATTATATTTAATTATTTAATCAGTCTATAGTAAGTTAAACTCTGCCACGACTTGATTTCAACTTTATCTGATATTTTTTTATTATTTGATAATTTGTTTGTGAGTGCGAGAGATTTTAAGCTAAACTACTTTTTTTTTTTTAATTCAAACAATAAGTATAATAAAATACCAATCTTTCTATTTTTTTTTTCACACAAGTTACATATGGTTGAAAACAGTCAACCTTTAGATTTTGTTTGGCCAAATCGTTTTAATTGTTATCTTTTACTCGCTATGTGTATTTATATTAGGAAGTTAAGTAACATATATAAATACAGTTATATAGCTAAAACCACGTCCAAAAGTCCTGTCTCAAACCATTTTCTTCATTAATTAAGACCGATGAAGTAGTTTAGTGCCAAACTTAAATTAAAAGGAAAAAAGAAACAGAAAACGAACGAATATTTATAAATCTAAATATTCTTTAGAGTTTTTCCATTGAATGAGTGATGACCACAAAATTAGTAAACATATATTACATTTTTGGTAATGTAATGACGACTGCAAATTAGCAAACGCATATAAAACTATATATCACCAATATAACGAATACAAAATCGGCATATTCTAGTCTTGTGGATCTCTATCGTTGACAGCCGTCGACTACATTTAGATTTTTTTCTTTCAGAAGACTCCATATAGTTTTCTTACTATATTCTAAAATAGAATTATGAAAAGTCATACTATGTTTTCTATATAGGCAATGAGTAAAAGAGCAAACACAACTATAGTATTTGGTACCTCCTTAGTTTCATTTGAAGCATATAAATCTCACAGAACACTAAACATAACTATTCATAATGTAGCATGATCAGTTTTCATTTTGCTCTTTTTTTAATAAAAAATTAGACTTATTTATCAAGAAGACATAAATAAATATACAACTTATGCCCTGGATTGCCATCAAGGTATATCAAACCCTAACATATATAATAGTCTTACTTCACGTGAGAAATAATTAATACTTTGTATAATACATGTTTTCGCATATTTGTTTCCAAGTGCGGACAGAAACACACAGAAAACAGAAATTAATTGAAGAAACATAGTTTATATGAGAAATAAGAAAATTTCACCAAAAGAGGGTTAGAGGACAAAGGCCCGTGACTTGGCGAGTTGCTTGCTTCTTTTGTATTTTACCATCTTCTGATCAAAGTCACGTACGATTTATATATATATATATATATATATAGAAACTTCACAATTCACATGTGTGTGTGCCTATACATCACTATTCACAAAATACGTTGTATGACATATCTCTGTATATACGTAGATTGCTAGCTAGTGTATAACCATTAGTAAAATTATTTTCGAAATCAGCAGAAAATAAAATAGAATACAAGCATTAACTTCTAAAAATGCATACGTACATATAAATTAAATTTAAAATTTATGTTGTCGACTGAAAAATGATTCTCTGTTTTGTTTTATTTTATTTTTGGTGAATGATAGCGAATTTATGATTGATTAGTTTTGTGGTTAGAGGTCTAGAGAAGGTCTCTTAATTTGCAAGACCCTCGACAACGAAATTGATCTTATATATAGTATTGCGATGCGTGAAATGCTTTTTATTTTAAAGCTATATATATATCTATATATATATATATATATATATATATATATGCTTAAAAAGGTTTAATATAATACACGATTTCCATATTTTCTAATCCACGACATCAAAATTTATTAAAGAAAAAAAAAACACATAAAAAGTAATCCAAACGTGACGATAAATACAATAAAATTTGAATTTTTTTAACTAGTTAATGTATCTAAAGGACATAGGTGGTTTGCAAAATGTAAGAAATACACAATATAAATGTTATAAACTTCATGCACATGGCAAATCATACGTTTGAAAACGTAATATAAACAAGATTCACATAATCAATTGTAAAAGGTATAACATGGGTACGTAAACACAAAAAAAAAAAAAAGAAGTACATATGCATTTTAATTAATAAAAGAAACAGTTGGGGTGTTTTTGTGTGAACGTAACTAAAGCTGTGTGGGTGCATTAAGGTTTTGAACGTAACGCGAGAGGCAATCCAATTAAATGAACATGTACGTACCACACACCCAACTTGGATTGCAAATCAAGATTTTAATTCAATGATAGTTTAGTTTGTTTTTGAAGACACGTATCCATTATACATTTCTCCACTATCATTATATACTAAAAAATTAGGGCATATGAATATGCATGTACAAAACATAGTCGTGAAATTTGAAATATAAACCTATTTTATCAAAGAAATAGAATACCTTGGTTTTTTTTTAATAATGTTTGAGTATTATTTATACACATAGTTGTGTTGATTGCAAGAATTATGATTAGTTGATAACCATATGAAGGATTAAGAAAGTGAATGGTTATGCCGTTTTTATTTGTAAGAAAATAATCCAATACTCCAATTTTATCGACACGGGATTAAATAGTGAAAAAGTGAAAACAAGATTATAAAAAAAGAAAAGAAATAGTTGGTAGAAAAAGGACATTTAACAATTAATAGCCCAACGAGAGCATAAAGAAAGTTGTGTCGGTGGCTAAAAATGCTTTAAGCATGACGTGCCATTCTCAAGTTTCAGGCAATTATTGCTGTCCATATATATTTTTTATCTACATTGCGTGAACAAATATAAAGAAAAAAAAAATTCTACCAAAAAAAAATAAAAATAAAGAAAAAAATCTCATAAAAATAAGCATTTTATAATTTATTATTGGTTTATAAAACAAAAAGTGAAATTATATTGAGAATTTTGTGCTTTAAAATGGAAAACTTTGATTGAATCGAACAAAAATGGTATTTGAGTAATAATACAATGAAAAAAAAGAAAAGGGTTTGTAATATATATATGGTAATCAAACAATTTTTTGTTGGTCGGGTTACAAAGTTTCAGGTTTCGAGAGATTGGCTCTCAGTATAATAGAAAATTATTGATGATATCGTCGGATTAGCGATGAACATCTTTGGTAAATCTCTTCTACAAGTGTTTTAGAAGAAGAGGTATTTTTGCTTCTTGAGACTAATGTATTGTGAAAAGATTGAGTCTAATTGTCCTATCTGTAGTTAAAGGTTCGTCTTCTTTTTAGGTTTAATTTTTTTTGTTTTGTATGTGTTTTTTTTTTATGTTTTTGGGAATTTCTATTTGTTCGGCGATTTTTTTTATTTTTATTTGAACTTCAGATTCTAAAAAAATATTTATTTTCCGCTGGTTTAAGTTGTATTTAACCATATATCCCCTTTACTTTTATCAATAATATTAGTTGACAAAAAAAAAATGGTAATCAAAAAAAAAAAACAAAAAAAATCATCTTCATTCATTCATTTATTCAACATCAAAATTATATGATGATTATTAATATTATATAGTATATACAGTACATAACTTTTGTAAGTAGCGTTGACGAAAAATAAAAGTCTTTGGCTACAGTTGTTTCGTCTGAGATCGACGCGGTTCAAGTGCGCGTCGGATAATACAGCACTCACTCGAATAGATATGAACAATCTACTTTTAACGGGCAGACACAAAAAATAATTGAATGGACTTATTAGCAAAATCCTATTTTGGCATAAATATTCGGATTGATCTTTAGGAATAACAAGAATCTTTGTCACATTAATTAAAAAATCTTGAAACACCAAAACTTATATATATATGTTGATTAGTATATATATAACCTCAACCTCACACTAAACACCATACATTTTAAATTTTAATCTGAATCCATACATTTTGCATAAAACGCTATACATACATCGAAGCCTTTCAAAATTGGAAAGTTTTCGAACCGAACTCGATCGATTGAGTTGTTATTACCTTATTAGATGGCTGCGATGCTAGACAAAGAGCAATCTGCGTTTGCTTTGCATTGATAACACAACAAAAACAAGTGTCTCCATGTTTACAACAACTACATTTTTCTAAAGTACAATCAATCACAATATCAATAACAAGAGAGACGCAACCAGATATAAAACACGTAGAGCTCTTTGTCGTTCCCGAGACCAAACTTTATCAGCCTTTTCCATTCCCAACATCAATCGCTGATCTCACAAATTGATCGCATTGAGTAACTCCTCCGGACAAAACATCAGCCAAAACACCGACAATATCAAAAGCTTCTTGCAGATCGGTTGCAGAGTTGATTTCGTCGAGCCACGAGATCAATTCCTTGGAGAAACCTACCAATTCTTTCACATTCAGCAGTTTCTCTTTCATTACAATCTCCCATGGCTCAAGCTCTGCTCCACTTGATGTACCTTCTTTCTTGTTTGGTTCTAGGTGGACCGGTTTCTTTGCTTTGAACAACTGTTGAAGCTGTTCTATCATACCGGTGTAGACCAGCATTGGTTTGACAATAGAGAGAAGTTCATCTCCGGTTAAGGTTTCTGCGTCTTGAGTTTTGCCTCCTGAACTGGTTGATTCCGCAGCACGAGAAGCTACCCGACCGTGAGCGTGTTGCATAAAAGTATGGTAAATCCCGCGCTGGAGAAAGACACGACGGTGTTGGAGCCATGATTCATATGATTCTGATAGCAGCGAGTTTACCATCATGAACTGAACGGTTTCCTCGGTTCCACTCGAGGATAGCTGAGATCCAGGAGTTAAAGGTCGTGAGTCCAATTGCGG